TCAATTAAGGTAAAACTAAGGTTATAGTTCTTTGCACACAAACACTGGAGTATTGTTCACACATGAATATTTGCTCCTGCCTAGATTAGCAGTCCACAAGTAGCCGGTCAGACCAGAATGAGCCACATGGGGCCGTAAAACAAACATTTCAAGCCACAACAGGAAATGTAGTAAGACGTAGTAACCGTCCACAGCGCAGCTTTACTGCCGCTGCAGTCAGGCCTCGCCATCATTTAAAAGTACTCTGTTGCAGGCCGGTGTAGGTCCATTCCCAAACAGGAATATTTTTCCAGACTGTAGCACCAGGACAGCGTCTCTCTGTTGCTAAGCAGGAGACTACCTCTCATAGTTTGACTGATTTTGCACTCCATGAGTGGGTTTTGTGGGCCAGATTCGGGGCATTCATCGGCCCACAAAACCCACTCATGGAGTGCGAAAATCAGTCAAACTATGAGAGGTGCACATTTAGAAACAGCCGTGACAAATATCAGGTTCAAATGTGGGAAAATTCACTCTCAGCTCTCACAGATGAACGCTGAGCTTCAGGTGATCCTGGTCTTTTGGTTGGACGCTGTGCTAGTTGACAGCACCATCGGTTTATTTTCTGCTCCCACCTTAAAGAGAATCGCAGCATTGTGCAGCCGCAGCATGGCGCAGGATGTTCAGCACCTCAGTAACCTGCAGACGGGCTAATCAGCTGCTTTTCTTTGGATATGACAGACGCGGTGTCGATTTCAGTGTTGAATAATTCAGAGGTGTGTTTTGTGATGCTGGAGGATTGTTTTTGTCTGAAGGCTCGTGTGCATCAGCAGAAAAGAGTTATTTTGTTGGTTAATGTGGAAAGCTGATCCTCTGCCCGTTCAGTCGGCAGGTGTGCGACGTGCACGCAGTGACAGACACACCTGCACGTTTCCCTCGCTGGTATTAGTCGTGTCATTTTCTCTAAGTGCTTTTTTCCCTTTCTTGTTGTTACAGAGACACAAAGAAAGCGGATGATATAAACCGCAGCCTGACGTCCTCCACCAGAGAAGGTACAGCACTCATGACCACAGCTTCATGTTCGTACAGTCGGCGCTCCAAGCTGCACTAAGACACGTCAGCCAGCAGCAACACTGTGGTTTACATGATCTTAGGTAGCTGGGATCAGCCCGCGGTTGTTGTGTTAAGCCTCAGAAAGCTGCTCGTTCTCTGGGCTTTACAGCCAAACCTTCGTTTGGTAGTTACAGGATCTGAGGAGGATTACCAAACGTTCAGGTTTCTGTGCAACTTTGCAATGAACAAAGTTAAAAGAGAAAACTTGAAAAGGGTCAGTGCATCGTTTAAACACCTCTGTGTAATTTCATTATTGAGTGTAGCATCTGTCAGTGGGAACTTCCCCTTTTTTTATTTTTGTGTTTTTGAGGGTCGAACATGTTGCCTGAATTTATTTATTCATCTAAAAAGGAAAAAATCACCAGTGAGCTTATGGTAGGTTTAAAGTATGTTTTTGAGACTGCCATAAAATATCTGTCAGTATTTTTATTTGAAAGAATAAAGCTCCAACTCTACAAATAATTTGTGTTACCAGTTTTCTCAGATCAGGATTTTCTTTCTGAGCACGTGTTGGTCAGGACTCCCCAGACGGCAGAGGAGGTCGTTTTACCAGAGAACTCGTTTTGGTGCTTTAAGTGCATAGAATTAGCTTTAATTACAAAGCTTAAATAGGCTTGAGATGGCAGCACAGACTGCAGCAGGAATGCTGAAATTGAGATTAAAGCAGCAGAGTTTTGGTCTCTGAGAGCAGCACAAAGGTCGCTCGTGTCTTAACACAAAAACTTGGCTTCACCATTTAGACACGCAGATTATTACATTTTTAATTTCTTCTCTTTTTTAGGGAAACTTAG